CACACGAACACGGGGAAGTAGATTTTAGCCAAATAACCGTACATCATCCTGCAAACTACAAGTAGACTTCAGTGTCTCTTTGCATGGCACGATTACCTAAAAGAACAGCGTGCCAAAGGTGTGTGTTGGCTGGAGTGGGTAGATAGGTTGAACGCCGAAACTTCGGTCCTTATGCGTTTGGTAAATGTTGAGAGATAAGCTACTGTATGACGAGATAGGAACACCTTGCGAGAATGCGTCAATATAAGCGTGAGGTTGTAACTGGTACTGTAGCATTTTATTGCCGGGTGGTTGAAAGCGCGATAACTACACGAGCCGCCTCGGTTCTACTGCAAAATAAGCACGAGTTTGTAGTTATAAAGCCTTCCGCGTAAACTTCAAGATTGAAAGTCGCTCGTTTTTGGCCTTGATGGACCGAACAACCTAGAACATCACAAACATCGGCAACAATTGCATTTAACAAGGTGAATCACAAATGATACTATAAAGTCACCGATCGTCTACACGGCGTACCGTCATTTCGAAGCCATCTTTCGCGAGAATAGCAGCAATTTCCTTTGGCTTGTTCTCCACAACGACAACCATGTAGAAAACTCCTCGCGGTGACAGTAAATCGTTGATCTTAGGTAACAAACGGTCAATAACTTCACGTCCGTGGAGCCCACCCGCCCACGCAGCTTCAACTCCTCTGCAGAAAACCACATTCCCGTTAATAAATAGCACTTCGACTGCAAGCATCTGTACATGTACAGTCCGCGTAAACGAACCACTTACGTAGATCCAACCTCCTCCGATGGAGTCGGCACATACGGCGGATTGAACAGCAACACGTCAACTTGTCCCTAAATTGCAATTTTCAAGTCAGTGAGAGCGAACCAAGCACAGCATAACTGCATCTTCTGTCCATACATGTATCCGTGGCTCGTAGCATTGCAGCAAGTCGGTGCGTACGATGTCAAACGCTTCTGCTCCATTGTTCGTTGCTGTCTGTCGCGCGACACCAGCAGCTAAAGGATTGATATCCGTTGCCAAGTACATCGCTCTCGTCCCCAGCTTTTGTAATTGCGTTGCCAAGTACACAAACACCGCGCCACTTCCACATCTGCTCAATGAAACACGAAATATTGAGCCAAATGGACATTTTCAGTCGAATTAATTGCCTCCACTTACCCGATCTCAACGCAAATCGCCGGGTCTAGCGTCACCAGCTGCGGTAGTTCATCTTGCAATGCGTCCACAAACAAGTACGTGTCTTCTGCCGGCTCATACACGTCGCAGTCGTATGCCATGTCGATCACCGGTAGCTCCGCCATGGGTATCTGCTATAAACTGTTGTTACCAATTATCCGGATTGTGTGTACCACATATAATGAGTGATCTTGAAGAGACGCATAGTGAGCAATGGACTTGAGCGTAGACGAAGATGGCTACAACAGCAGCACAGGCAGCGTAGATGAAGATGCAGAGCTGGAACTATCCTGTGCGCTGCATGACTTGGCGTTGAGGGTAAAAACATTCGAGGCCAATATGCAGGGGCGATTCCGACATGGCCTCGAAGATGACGAGAACGAAGAGGAGATCACAGAAGACATTGACCACTTTGAAGAAGAAGCGGGGTCGCATTACTATGACAGACATCGGATGGACTCGGATTCGGCTTCTCCAAAGCGTAGAAATACTAGAAGGACACGGAGCGACTACAAAATGGCGAAACCTGAGCAGGATCACGATGATGAGGACGTAGACGAGATACACAGCGACGAAGAAGTTGAACAAGAAGCGAAAGGAGAATCAGACGAGAATTTGGAGGAATGGGACTCACAAGAAGAGAAAGAGGAGCTGTGTGAGCTCAAACAGAACATCGCTAAGTTACTGCAGAGCATGCAGGAAGAGGCCAAAGCGCTTGGTGGTAACCAGTCAGACTGCAATGCTACGACCTAGGCGCAGCATAGCGCGAAACAAGAAATCAATATGAGCAGCTTATTCACCCTCTTGTACGTATTACGCCATGACACATGACTCTGCTCACTCCACTCTTCACCAGCATATCCCGTCAACCTACTTGGACTGTAAATACTCCAGGAACCGCTTCTGCAGCTCAAACTCCTGTTCCCGAAGCTCCGTCTCCTTCTGCCGTTGATCCATGTCAAACTGAATCTTGCTCTCAATTAGCTCCAGAATCCGCGCACGGAAGTTCTCGCTACTGCTACCGTCATGAGCGTCGGTAGCAGCAGTCACTTTGCCACTCATAGCATTCTCCAATTTCCGTCGTTTCTGCGCCAGCGCCGTGGAGGCAGCAGCAGAGCTCAGGCCAGCGCCATCACTTTTCGTCCCGATGACTCTCTCCTTGCCATTGCCGTCCCCTACCGTCTGTCCAGCCATCTTGTGGTTCTTCCGGAGAAGCGTCTCGTTGATCTCGCGCAGAATCGTCTCCTTGCGGGCATTCTCCTCCATCGTTCCGTGTTTAAATAACTTGTCGTGCTTGCCATCTGTGTACATTTTCATCAGCGCCGTCACTCGATCACTGCAGCATCGAAATAAATAAATTAACTAAAAAAATTGTATCATTCACACTCATTCAGTTAATTTCTTACCGACACGTGTGCCACGAAAAAGCTCCCGGGTTCTTGAACACCTGCATACCGATAGACTCGGCCACATTCTGCCACATCTGCAGCCTCGTGCCGTGCTTGGCAGTGAACGGGTTGTTGACCTGCAGCGCCTCCAACAGCATCACGTCCATAGTGCCATTGAACTTGGCGTATCTTCCACGCACTACAGGTTTCTGCTGCGTCGTCTGCGTTCTGCCTACAATAATATACGGCATGTTCGTAAGTGCATCCTGGTGTCGCTCTGTAACTGGAATACGA